ATAACATGATATAAAACTCAAAAAAGTTGATTTTACATGATATTGCCCTTTTAAAATTCCAATGTGTGTGTTTGTGAACAGAATATTAAAAACAGAAAAGCAGGAAATATAAGATTGGCTTTAAAGTGAGATACCCTTAAACCTTGGTCGCCTGAAAATGTTTCACATGTGAGCAGGAAGTAAGTAAGTTGATTTTAGGTCTAATCAATGATCCTGTCAGGTTGTTTCGTAGAGAAAAGATGAAAAATTAATGAGGAAATATGATGGATGGTGAGAAGATCAAAGCAGCTAAAATATGTGAACAGGTGGATGATTCACAGAAAAACAGACCTTTGCTCAGTTAAAATAAATAAATTCTTGTGACAGCGTGTGAAGCAGCAATTATAGCTTCATTAGATCTCTGAAGAGAGGTGATAAAGAYGTATAAATCACTGATTGCGAGTTTTATAATAAAATTTACAGACTTCTGCAAGAAAACAGAAACWTCTCTGCACTCAATTAGAAGTTTACTTTGATCTCAGCTTAGTTTTTAGCTACTGTTTTGCTGATTTTATTGTTTAGTTTTTTCTCATTTTAGCTAATCACTAGTCTGTTTGTTGGCGTTGTAATTCATAAAAAAAATGTCATAAATTCAGAGTTTCAGGATRAATAAATCAAAATCTCACCATCTTATAAAGATCGGACACACTGATCTGCTCCTCATCAACCATCTCAAACTCTTTCCTTGGTACCAGGTCCAGACCCAGGTGTCTGAGAAACACAAAGAGAGGAAAGAAAATCAGAGGTAATATTTAACTAAAACCTACACCAAGTTCTTTTCATRTTTATTCACACGGTTTTGGTTTTAATTCAATAAAATTATAATTAATATGCAAATCCTCGTGGAAGAGTCTGAACAAATACTTCTTTACTAATTATCATCTCCTGAGAAAGAAGTGTTTTCTTTAAATAAGCTCCTGCTTTTCAACCTGTGGTATTAGTATTATCTATTTGCTTTTAAAAAATCAGCTCAGAAAAGTTTATCGTTATAATTAAAACTTCACATGCTTCTTGTGAGGTCGGTGATGTGAAAAACTTGGGCAGATTCAGCTCCAAAATATGTATTTTATTTTTGTGTGTGTGTTTGTGTGAGTTTGTGAGTTTTCTCACTCGTTGCCCCAGTCCAGTCTGACGGTGATGTGTCGTTTGACGTCTCTGCTCTGGTCCTGGGTCAGGTGACCCGACAGCAGCTGCCTCCTCAGGTCGATCAGCTCCATCATCACGTGTCGAACCTTGTAGAACAGATCCACYTTGTGTTTCTGATGGAAACAAAGCAAAATAAAGAGAAAACCCCTGAATTTTTATAGTGGTTCAAGCAGAAATAACATTTTTCACATTGTTTTTATTCAGCAGATGATTGATGCTTTATGTTACAATTGACTGACTCAGCCTATTATTTAACTCGACTTTTATCATCCATCTGAAACAAAAGTTATTTCAATGTAAAGCTCTCTAAARCAGTTTTTATAAAAACCACAATGAGATTTTCTAACTGGAGTTATTTTAAGACTCCTCTCAGACGAGCTGTTGGATCGACTCCACTGAAAGATTTTCTGCCCGATATTCCGAATTGATAATCCTCTGAGCAATCTCTGCCTCAGGCAAGAGTTTATTATCAATAACTGCACAAAACACCACTTTCAGAGTAAAAATAAATAAATAAAATAAAACCACAACTATTTCTTTCAAAACTAAAACACCAAATCCTATCAGGTCTGAGAGGTGATGCTGAGACACTTCAGTGTGTCAGCAGAACATCTGAGTTCATACACCTGCTAACACACACACACACACACACACACACACACACA